CATGAATTTATTCAACACGTCATTGACATTGTGGGGTCGTGACAAAAAAATGTGTGAATCAAAACCAAAACAAGAAATAAATGAATTAAAATCAAGCCTTCCATTCCGCCTTTTGTCTCTAATGGAGGAGTGGCAAATTTGGACATGCGTTTGCTTGTTCAAACTTGACAAGCCCCTCATTTTTGTGAAATTAATCCCCGACATCTTTACTAAAAATTGTCAAATTTATTCTATTAATGCTTCGTGCAGTTCCCGTAGATGACACCCAAGGGGTGTAATTTACCAAACTTTACGGGGGGCGGAGATCAATCCTTTGGAACCCTGTTCCTCAGTTCCATGTTAGCAGCTGCTTGTGATTTCGAACATTTCCAACCTAATGCTAAAGTTGCATTTAGACACATAATTAAATAAACCGCACTGTTCACAACAGCATGGAGTACGTTTGAATAAAAACAAACACCTGCTTTGTTCAAAATATCGTCCTGTTTTTACTGGTTTTCCTGTGATTAGCATTGGGGTAAGGGTTTGTTGGGGGTAACGACTTTTGGTTGATGAGGATCGCATGACTTTACTTCAGGCCCAAACACGTCATTCTGAGCTGAAAGCGCATGAATCGATTCAATGCCTTACTGACAGTATTGAGTCCAATGAAAAATGTAACCCTCAAGACAAGAGAGCCTTTACGTCTTTGTAAAATCCCCAAATGCTATACCACGAAACGGGTGGATTTCCAACATGCAAATCAGGTTTCCAAAGGTAAATACAACACCTAGATAACCTAAATAAACTACATCGTTCACAAGACGCCAATGACAAAATCTTAATAAAAATTAAACTCTGCAGGGCTGAAAAATACCCCTTTAGTTTTCTTTTTTTCTTATGTTTTGATTTTTCTTCAACTATAGCTTTTCGTCCATTGAAATGTTCTGATGTTTGTTTGCCAATCGTATGATAACATTGACTGATTATTCTCCAATTCTTTCTTACTTGAGCACTGACAGTTACTTCCAAAAAATGTTGCCGCACAACCTGACAAGAGAAACATAGACATGAAGTTTAATTATAAGAGCAAACATTCTTTCTTTAAGTCACAACTTTATTGCCCTAGATAAAAGAAACGTAAATTTAGGATTGGATTCGATCTTTTTCATACATGAATGAGCTTGTTAGTATGACACTTTTTCAAATGTATTTGATAGCATAACTCCTCTCACCCATGCTGCATTCTCCTGTATCTTTACTGCACGTTCCTCCTGATGCACAGTGACAAGTCTGCTGGCAATCTGCACCAAACGTCCCGTCTTCACATTCTGATAAATTGATATTGGCATGGAAATTCAGACAAAAACCAAGAGATCCAGCTCCAAAAATAGTAAAATGAGATGTTCGCTCGAGCAAAACCTGTTTGAAGTTAGTAGATTCAGTCGCTTTTATACCACGTTTCTACCGGCCGACCTGATTTCAAAATGAGATTTTTTTATTGTATTATAATGATTCAGTTGGCTGAGCCGAATAATTATGATACACGATGGATTGTTCTTCAAGGGTTCATCCCTAGATCCATGTTAAATCTGATATGGTTTTGGAAGTTCAGAACATATTTATTACTTTTCCAAGAGTGTTAAAAATGCAAATCACCAGCTCCTAATAGTCTTAAATCAATGTAAATGATATTTCTTGTCAAGTTCACAGGTCATGTTTAACATGGTAGAAAATTATGCTACTCATGACACCCTAAGTTGTGTATTTTAATGGTTATAAAAATACTTGCTTTCAGTGCTTGGTATTTATGTTGATTGTCGAAGCCAACACAGCAGACTAGACCTTTTAGTACACTCTAACTTCCGATCTTTGTGGCTATACGACCACTGCGAGTAGAATACCAAGCGTTGGAATTTTAACATCATAAGTTGGCTGTTGTTTGTGTGGGTTTACCCAGAGACACCAAGGCCAGACCCTTTTGGTTTGAAATTTCCCTAACCAACGCAAATAAATAAAAAAAATTTAAAAAAAGAAAAAAAATCCTACTTCACAATGGTCTCGGACGAAACGTAATTAAGGTTAAGGATCTGTTGACACCTTTGCAAGAATTCTCAAGTAACAAAACGCTCCCTGTGTCATATCAAGCACAATATGAGGCAGAAGGACTCCCTGCTTTGTGTTGGTTATTGTTCCAATGGAATGAGGGGGATGTTTAAGGAGTGTGTATAGCGATTTGGACATGTTGGGGGCTACCCTCGGTCTCATTTCTTGCTGGAAAACCCTGTGTTAACAACGGTACCTTGCATACAGTCTAATCCCTGGTAACCTGCAGCACAGGAGCATCCATAAGGGTCTGGTAGACAGAACAAACGCCCTCGGCAAGCATCGTTGTGTGCATCAGTGCTACTGGAGCATCGCTGATCAGCAGTTTTACCAAATACATGACGACCGTGAGCTGAAAACAGCACCAACAATGTGGATTACNAATTCCGGATTGACCATGTTTTAATGTGAATTAAGAATATTAGAAGCATATATCCTTTTCTGTGTTCAGGACTCATTACTTGAATTGTGTGATGCTATTATGCTTGTCATTATATGTCACTTTTGTTAAATCCCAACTCAAATCAGCAGCGTGTTAAAAATGAAACAATAACCAGCACAGTTGGTAAATATGATCCCGTTCCAGAGCTACAAAATACAGCAGTTGATTTTTCTTGGTTTTGTAATGAGGAAAGCCATATTTTCAAAGCCTGGGTAAGATTAAATACATCTGTTATGTAGAAAGAAGGCGGTCCTAAGTTGAAAGAAAGAGCCTCTAACTTGTTCTCTGACACCCTTGTTAAACGCGTTGGAAAAATATTAAACTTGTGAGTAATCACGGCAAAGCTTTGGTAATTCTCCTACAGTTGTAATGAATCAATGGTTTTTACGAAGCGAGTCGAGTCAGTGTGACGTAGTAACTAGAGTCGAGTCCATGTAATGTAGAAACTCTGGTCAAGTCTAGTCAGGAGACAAAAAGTTCAAGTGACTGGAGCCCGGTCTAGTCAAGTATTTAACTTAGTCAATTGGAGTCAGCAATACTTGAACATAATACAATGAAGAGTCAGTTTTTTAGGGTTTTTAAATTCACCTCTGGGTTTCTCCATCTCACACCACATCTTACTCTTGATTTTAATAACACATGACATGAACTTTACAAACCAGCACTGTAAGTGATTGCATACATTGTTTCGCAGAATTTACTTTCATTTTTGGGACTGGAGTGTTATTCAATTTCACTCAAGTTGGGTCCTCTGAAATCGAGTCTAGTGGAGGCATTTTCTCGCTGTGACTCGAGTCGATTTACCTTTTCTGACGCAAGTCGAGTCAACAAATATTTTGACGCCAGCTCGACCCAACTAATTTAAGTCAATGAAACTCGGAGTCACGTCACTGATTTGTAGTTGCTCGAGTCAAATAGAGTCATTTGGTAATATGAGCCAATGGAGTTACAGGTATTTGAACAAAGTATGATACGTGGAAACCTATTTTTTTGCACTATACAATTAACCTCGAGGGTATGGTACTACATGTTGTCAAAGTTTTCCCGAAGAGACACTGTTCTCGTCGGGTTGCAAAACATTTTTAGCATTCTTTTAAATTCACCAATGCTACTCCTGGAAGGAGGGGATGGCACAAAGATACAAAACAACTATCGCTACAAGTTAATTAAAGTTGTTTATTTTGTAAGTAAACAAGACTGTCTGTTCGTGAAATGCTAAAATTCGGGTGACTTTTAGTCTCTTTCTCATGAAAACGGCGCACGCAATATATGATTAATTTGCCAAAGCACGTACCAGGTGCAACATAGTAACATTTGTATACATTTCTGGAGTAAAATTTTCTCTCTATGAAAATGACAAACACGTTTTGCACATGGAATTTATCTTTTTGCTGACGTCTTTTTGCTAATATCTATGGAAGAAGAATTGTCTTTTCGTGAAAACCAAGCGCTGTAAGCTTAGTTGATTTTCCAAAAAAGTAAAAGCATTAACTTGAAAAACAAAATCACGATTTGGGGTCAAATTACCTCTTCGTGAAAACTGTGACAATGTGATAAGACATTATGTTACTCTAGAAACACATAACATGAACATTATAAACAGACACTATTAGTCAATGCAAATTTTCTTTGCCAATAATTTTATTGTCCTTGTGGGGACTCATTAACCTACCTTCGAGGAATAGTGACTCGAGTCGTACTCGAGTCAGGTCCTTGACCCATCTCACTGTCCAACAGAAACAAGCGTCTTTACTTAGGACTCTCATTTATTTACCTTGCTCGCAATTGTCTCCACTGAACCCTGGAGCACACACACAGGTACCAGACTTGTCATCACATACACCGCCGCTGTAGCATCGTCGACAGGTTTTCAGACACAAAGGTGGACCCCAAAGTCCAGAAGAACAACCTTGATAGCATTATTTAAGGAAGACGTTTAGCAAATTCATCAATCTGGCAAAGTGTCAACGTCCAAACTGTGACTTCTGCTTAGATGATAAAAATGCAGAAAATGAGTCACTGTGTACATCGTCAAAATAACCTGTCAAAACATTGACTAGTAGTTTTAAATTTTGGTGACATTCCGCTTAAATACAAAATTCCCCTCAGGGCAAGACCATATCTGGCAACTAACCTCTCACTATAAGCCTCATGTTACCATGGAGTCGCATAGCCTCATAACCTTCAGCAAAGCAGCTGTATATTCCTTCATCACTTTCAGTTTATATTCCTTCATCACTTTCAGTTATGCTGGACAGTGATACACTCAAACGGTCGTTCCAAGATTCCATGACTTCGCCTCCATTGTGCCGCCATCTGTAGTGGTTGTTTGGTGAGCTGACAATGTGCATTTGCAGCGTTACTGAATCTCCTATGCTTGCTGTCATTGTGCGAGTAGCTGGACCTATGTGAACTCTACTGCCTGTACCTGACGGGGGCGAATAATAAATTAAATTTGTGTTAACTGAAATTGTGATACCAACAGAACAAAAAGGTCAGTATTCAAGGTTGTCGAACATTTTTAAAAGAATTCACAAAAAGACTCAAAAACCTGACGGATGTAAATTTTTTTAGAGGCTAGTTCATGTTAATATAGCTGTCCCAAATAATCCCAATGTTAAACAAAGGGGAGACGCTTTTTTTCCAGCATGTTTAGACCTCTGGGTCTACATTATATATTTACACATTAGCCCAATGACGACCAGGAAGACCCACATTTCATGAAACCAAGAAAATTGGGGAAAACTGTTCTATCAAGATCTCACTAGGCTGTTGATGTGTTACTGGCACGTTACGTATTATGTTTATGTTTTGCTATATGCGTACTGCAGACGCGATACAAGTAGCAACGACGAATAACCATTTTAATGTGATCTTTTGAGGTCAAAATATCCAAGTGTTTTACATCATAGACGATCTGATTGCATCTTAGCAGAGACAGGATTCAAATTAAGTTGTGTAGCAAGCTGCAGTCACGTTTCTCAGTAGTTACCCTATGGGTTGAAATAGTACGCCCCATCAGTTTTCTGGTGGGAACGGCATAAAAATCTTCCTGATCGATCTGCGCTTGAACCACAGCGATGCTATGGAATTCCATATCTGCCGTCGTACCTCGTCCGTCGTGCAGAATTTGATGAAAAAAAGTCGGCACGTTTTTACAGTATGCAAATTAGAATTAGACTGTGGATAAGTTGGCCTGAACATTTTTATTGAAAATGTTTCCCCCCAAAAAAAACTTGGTTGAATTTGCAGAAAGGCGACATTTTTTTGTCAATGGGTAGGGGTAGTCTAG